TGTCTTCCATTGTTACTCTACATTTTTGTATTCTCCACAGCAAAGAATTTGTTTTATCATTGTTTCAAATTCTCATCAGTATTTGCTGTTGCCAGACCTAATTTATACTATTTTAATAGACTGATAGTGGTACCATACACACACACACACACACACACACACACACACACACACACACACATACACACACACACTTTATTTGAAATTATTTGCTAACACATGATTTGGAATATCTTTTCATATGCCATTTTGTTAATTCATATTTTTAATGAGTTGTCTTGTTAAAATAAATGCACAGCCAACACTGAGAGGCACTATGAGATAGATTTATTAAAATAAGTATCAAAATAGAGGTTACTGCTAGACGGAACTGTTGAGTTTCAGGTAACTATTTAGGCCTTCCACACCTTGCCGGGAATATATTCATTTCTAACTTTAGATGTCATAAATAGACATACTGATAGCACAATTGTTATTATTGGCATACTTAGCTGTCAATCTTTCATTTAATATTCTTATTGTAACATTTCCAAAGATTTATTTTTCATTATTATTTCACTTTGCATGATTTTTTTGTTTCCCATAAATTTGCTACTTTCTATTATGTTTGAGTGATTACTTGATCTTCTATTCGACTTATATTAAAGATATAAGAAAAACTGTTAAACAAAATGATTCAGAAAGAAAAAGCATAAATACTGAATAATTTCTCTTATATGAGACACCTAATGTACAAATAAAAACCAAAATAAAAAAGTAGATAATAAGAAAGAAACAGATCTCTTTCTTATTAAGATTAAGAGATGGAGGGAGGGATCAAAAAAGGTCAGGGAAAGGTTCAAAAAAAGAATTACGATGTCTAATGTACAGGTACCAAGTTACTAAGATTAATGTAAACATTATATACTGCAATCATGTACTTATTAAAATAAAAACTAAAACACTAAAAATGATAAAAATTTCACCAATTATCATAGTTTTTGCAAAATATAAAGCCTTTCTTATTTTTACAAACTATAATTATCTTTGCAAGCTGTGATTATTTAGGAGGTCAATATTGATAAATTATACATAAAATTCTAGTGGCTATCGTTAACTCTCTAAAACTGAAAGCACTAAATTGTACTTTGTAGATGAAGTTATTTTGGTCTCCAAATTCACCCAAATGTATCCAGGAATTGATGATGTTTCCCAATCTATGACTCCAATTAAAAAAAAAATTGCTACCGATTTTATTTCTTGTCATTTCTTAAATCAAATTTTGTTTAAATCATTTTGGTTGATTGAAATTAAGAGTGAAAGTGATGTGATTACTTTATATGATTATTCAATGTTTATTAATTTTCTAATAATTATGTAAATATGATCTGACAAAACTATGGAAACATTTATTATGTATTTTAGTTTATTTTAAAGATTAATAAGATAAATTGATTGTATCAAATTGTTAAACTGATTCAATTGACTTTGCAAATTCCATCCTTTGAGGCTATTTGAATTTTTGAAGGCATCATTGCACTATCAAAACCCCCTAGATGTTATGGCTTAACAGTCATACATACTCAGACAATTCATACAACAACTATTTGTATTTTTGAATTTATCTTTTATTTTGAGGTAACTTCACCACTACTGGGCTCTTTTGGGTTATGGTGTATTACATAGGACTCATTAAACTCCAGTGAGCCTTTGTATTCTGGAATCTGCTAGATTTTCCTATGCCTGTCTCCCTGTCATTATTAATTAACAAATAGACACTGACACAAATGTTTTCACTACCCAGAACCTACTATTTTAATGATGGAAGGCCTGAGCAAGAAGATCATATCCTAAAAATTTACAGTTAAAACTTTTGTTAAGTTAAAGCAAATATGTTGTCACGACCACTGTTAATAGAAAGAGAAACATAGCAAGAGGAGGGATGGGAAAACTCATAGGTATTAAGTAGTTTCAATTAAGAAATAAGAAGTATTCACCAGTTATAACTTGCTTATCACTACTTTTCATATATGAATATGAATAATAATCTTATTAAAGAGAGGGTATGAGTTTTATCATATTATCAAGAATCAAAATAAATATAATGTATTTTTCTTTGTATTATAACCATCAAAAATAATATGATATAATTGTCTAAAACATTTTTTAGTTTTTCAATTGTAATTTCTTGAATAATATGTTTTGACATTTAGATTTGCTTAAAGTTTCTTCTACTATTTTACTTAGAAAGGACAATGTTATTGTTATTGAAACAAATTTAAAAGATCCAGACAGAAAACCTTGAGAAATCAAGTGAATGTGTAATTGAATAGAAATATTAATATATCTAAGACAAAAGTTTCACTAATATATACTAACATACTTTAGCTAAATAAGCATACATTGTTTAATATTTCACTTGGTTACATGTAAACTCTGTACCCAACACTATATACTCTTCATATAAATTGGATCAATTTTGGTAGACTGTGTCATATATGATTACACAAATTGTATGTTCTTTCATTTCCTTTTAAATTTTTCTCTGAAAATTCAACAAAGTCTATATTGAGATCAGAAGAGATTAATTGAATGAAGCAATGGTATCATCATCAACTAGAATAATCAAAGTATAAGTGCTGAATGAATAGAAAGCAGAAATGCTCTAAATATCTTTTAAATGCTGAGAAATGCAAAGTGTAATATGCTAAAATTTCAATTATAGGTAATTTTTAAAATTTGTAGTGGAAAATTGTTTGTCTTGCTATGTAAGAAAGTAAAATCATAATTGCTAGAAGATGGAGAATGTTGGATTTAATGATAGAATTATAGGAACAGAAAGTTAAAGGTATGGAGAAGTTACTGAAATGCATTAGTATAAAAATTGAGGCCAGCACTGGGCAAGTGAGTGAGTGATCCAGATCCTGTCAAGGTTTAAAAACTTTAAATATGTCAGGTTTTGTAACTCCAATTTGCACCCTGAGTTAAACTCACCATACTACACACACACACACACACACACACACACACACACACACACACACACATAGTGGAGGTTTTGGTACAGATAATCTAAGTAAAGTTACTCAAGTATTAAAATATGTACATTATTCTTGTGTGGAAAGTTCATACATGTATGAGTACAACAAACTTTCCAGGAATGGCATCCTGTCAAACTACCCTAAAAAAGCTAAGATACGCAAACAATTTGAGACAACTGGCTCTAGATCCTGGCACGGCTTGTGGTGATGTCTATCCAGTCTTACACCAAAATCAGATCAATGGCTTTTAGACATAGTGAGACATGGGGAGCTCCTCTTGAGTAACATAAAATTTTTCTTTTGCAAGAAATAGTTAAAATTTTCAACAACAATCACATACTTTCCTGATGCTGTTTCATGAACTGTAGAAATAGAAGAAGAAATTGAATGCCATTAAGCAGATTTCAGGGAATTTATTCCCTGTTTAGAAGATTGAAAGCTCCCCACTAGAGGTAACTGAGGAAGTAATCTATGATTCTATGATATAGATGTATATGCTACAGAACTGAAGTTATTCTTGAGCAAAGAGAGGAAGAAGAAAAGAAAAGGAAAATAAAAGAAAAAGAGATAGATTAAATTTATTTACACTTTTATAAGTAGAAAAGCCAGCTAACAAGGAGATCTACTGGAAGAGAACTAAATCTTGTTAAATATGTTTTCACTCTTAAAAGATTAACTGGAATTTCAGGTCTGTGTATGTCACAGTCCTGTTTCAGGTGTAAAGGGCCAAGATGAAATTTGAAATTTTAGGTGTTTATGTGATATACCTTCTTCTTCATGTTAATATCATTAGTTTATAAAATATTTGATTTATCTATCAAATTATTTTAATCCAGGAGACAAAACTGCCTGTTTAAGTAAGTGAAATATTTTATTTTTATCTATGAATATGATGTTGTCCTTTTCAAAAACCTCGCCAAATTTGTCTCCAACATAATATAATGAAACTGTAGAATTCATGAATAGTCTAATTGTAGGAGAAATTTATTACATTCCCTTTTAACTTGTTTCAAAATTCACAGTAAGCCTGAGCTCTTTTAAATCATGACTGACTGTACATGCATTTCCCACTCTTAGGGACAGCTGTATTTATCTCTTCTTGCCTTGATTATAGATGTGTTTTCCAATAATGAATGCCCCAAAATTCAGAAAAAAAGAGATAAATTACATTCTTTTTAATTTTTTTGAAATTTTAAGCAGAATAAAACAAAACAAAATTTTAAGAGCACATATGTCTGTGATTAAGTACACACAGAACAAATAAAGATAATTTCAAAAATGACTAATATTAACTATGTGAACTTATTCAATTTTGTGAGCACAGGGAAAGTAATTATTTTTGTGCTTCCCTGAGAAAGCATAAGAGCCCATCTATGTATAGTGTATACATCCTGCTTCCCTTTAGATGTGTCCCAGAAATAATGTTCAATGGATTGCCCACCAGTTCCATTTACTCTGTGTGAAAAGATACTGAATGCCACCAGATGTGTCTTGAGTAACTTTTTGTACTACATTTAATCACAGCTAGAACCATTTTCACACAGCAAGAGATAAGAGTCTTTATAACTAATAAAACTATACTTTGCAAAGAAATTTTCAAGAACAATTGTAATGACAAGTGGAAATTATCCAGTAAAATAATAGTAAAACTTGAAGTGAAAGCCACAGGACTAATAATAACATTGACATTTCATTTGAGACATAAGAACAAACCTTAACACAGATGATGAAATCTGAGTTTGGAAAGTCAATAATAATATATGAATAATGTTTCAGTGAACTGAAAATTAATTATTAAACCAGGCAAATTCTTGATCTTAATCTTCTTTCTGTACCTGAGATGGATGGGATTTACTTCTTGTGCTGTATTTGGAGTCACTCTTCTGTCCGTTCTCTGCTACCCTGCCCCTGAGAAATAACTCAGCTTGCAACCGTATTTTGTTTAAGGCAGTTCTCTCTTTTGTGGCTGCTGGATTTCAGTACCAAGTTTCCAAAATGGTCGCAATGATGATGTCAAATGCTTTTGCTGTGATGGCGGCTTGAGGTATTGGGAATCTGGAGATGACCCATGGGTAGAGCATGCCAAGTGGTTTCCAAGGTGTGAGTTCTTGATACGCATGAAAGGGCAGGAATTTGTTGATGAGATTCAAGCTAGATATCCTCATCTTCTTGAACAACTATTGTCAACTTCAGACACTCCTGGAGAAGAAAATACCAATCCACCAATTGTGCATTTTGGACCTGGAGAAAGTTCTTCAGAAGATGCCGTCATGATGAACACCCCTGTGGTTAAAGCTTCTTTGGAAATGGGGTTTAGCAGAAGCCTGGTAAAGTAGACAGTTCAGTAAAATCCTAACCACTGGGGAGAATTACAAAACAGTTAATGATATTGTATCAGAACTTCTTAATGCTGAAGATGAAAGAAGAGAAGAGGAAAAGGAAAGACAAGCTGAAGAAATGGCATCAGATGACTTGTCATTAATTCGAAAGAATAGGATGGCTCTCTTTCAACGCTTGACAAGTGTCCTTCCTATCCTGGACAGTCTTTTAAAGGCCAATGTAATTAATAAACAGGAGCATGATGTTATTAAACAAAAAACACAGATACCTTTACAAGCAAGAGAACTGATTGACACCATTTTAGTTAAAGGAAATGTTGCTGCCACCATGTTCAAAAACTGCCTAAAAATTGACTCTACATTATTTGAGAACTTATTTGTGGAAAAGAATATGAAGTATATTCCAACAGATGTTTCAGGTCTGTCACTGGAAGAGCAACTGAGGAGGCTGCAGGAAGAAAGAACTTGTAAAGTCTGTATGGACAAAGAAGTTTCTATTGTGTTCATTCCTTGTGGTCATCTGGTAGTATGCCAGGAATGTGTCCCTTCTCTAAGAAAGTGCCCTATTTGCAAGGGTATAATCAAGGGTACTGTTTGTACATTTCTCTCATAAAACAAAATAGGTTATATGTGGGTCTACACAGAAACCTCTTTAAACTATTTTTGCACATTTGAAACTATGAGAAACAAAAGAGAAATTATTGGTTCTTGTTAATATTCATGTTCTATTCTGCTTGGTATTAATAACCTTATTTCAAAAAAGGTAGTATTACATATGTAGTCTTCATGTTTAGTTGCAGAAGGTTTGTGTTTATTAAGCTGAATTAGTATGTATGGGTGAACATAGGAGTGAAACATGTGCTTGTTTGAATAATTCTAAGAGTTATTGTATTTGGTATTGTTAATGACAGCTCTGGGTACTAAAAGTACAGTTTGAAAGTACAGTACTGGCAACCAGTAGCTCTGGAATTCATCAGAGTTACGGTGCCAAATTTTTTTGGTGCTTTTTACTTGTAAAAATGTACTTACGTTGTAGCCTGTCATTTTGATTTCCTCTAGTTTGTGGGAAATTTTAATAAAGTATGTTAAAAGGAAAAAAAAATTATTAAACCAAACAACTAAATTATTTCAAGGGCTGATTATTTAGGACACTATATGTGTAACATAAAATTGGTATCAGTTATGTTTGTTATTGTTTCCTCTTTGATTTTCCTGTTGCTTTACCTTTATTAAATTTAATATGAAGGGAATGAATAAATAAAAATATAATTAATTTATGATAAATATATATTTTAGTTTCACAGTAATAACATTTATAAAAACCATGAATTGTAAACATTATTTTGCTCTTCATTATGGTAAATATTAGGCAGTATATATCCAAGAGAGGATTTTATTGAATCATTCATGAAAGAGATGAAATTTAGTTTATTCAAAAAGTATCTTGCTTCATTCTCTTTAATAAGGATCAAACTCATGACCTTGCACTTGCTAGACAGGAATCTGCACCACTGAGATAAATTCTGACCCCTAGTTTGTTCTAACTGATCTCTAATTTAGAATCCATGTGAATGATCTCCAAAACCACATTTTGTTGAATTTGTATCCAGCTACACTACTGAAATTGTTATTAAATATACAAGCCTTTTGGTGCAATTTATGGGGACTTCTATGTAGTGTATCATGTCATCTGTAAAAAATAATTGCACTCCTTTCTTTCTTATCATTTTTCTTTTTATTTACTTACTGATATAATTGCTCTGGTTAATATTTCCAGAAATATATTGAATAGGAGTCATGACTCTGGAGAATCTTCTCTTGTTTCTGATTTTATGGTAAAATATTTCAGTTTTTGTCCATTTAGTATGATGTTGGCTATTGGATTGTCATACATGGCTTCTATCAGATTGAAGTGATGACCATCCAGTTTGATTTTCTGTAGGATTTTTATCATGAATGAGTGTTGGACTTTGTCAAAACATTTTTCTACATATCTTGAGATGGTCATGTGATTTTCACCTTTTACTCTGTTGATACAGCATATTACAATTTTTGATTTATGTATCTTGAACCATCAATGCATTCTTGGGTTGAATCTACTTTTTCATGATGTATAATATTCTTGGGATTTGCTGCATTCTCTTTGTTAGTGTATTGTTAAGGATTTTTTCATGTATGTTTATTAGGGAGATTGGCCTGTAGTTTCCTTTTAGATTTTGTCATTATCTTGTTTTGGCATTGGGTAATATTTACCTCCATGAATGAGTTCGGGAGTATTGTTTCACTTTACATTTCATTAAAGAGCTTGAGTGTATTGAAATTAAATATTTTCTAAATTTCTTGTAGAATTCAGCTTTGAATCATTCAAGATCTGGGTTTTCTGTGTTGTTAATTTTTATTACATTTTAAATCTAACTAAATGATATTTTTATTCAAAATTTTTATGTCTCCTTGATTCAGCTTCAGTAATTCATACATATCTAGGACTCTGTCCATTTCTTTTGTTTTTTCCATCTTATGAGAGTAAAAAAATTTTGAAGTAGGCACTGAGGGTCCTCTGAATTTCCACAGGATCTGTAGTGCTTTTACCCTTTCATTCCTCAGTAGATGAATTTGGGTCTTTTGTAATTGTATGATAAGTTTGAAAAATGTTTATCAAATTTATTTATTCTTTCAAAGGACCAACTCTTCAATTCACTATTTCTCTGTATTGTGTTCTTAGTCTCCATCTTGCTCTGATCTTTATAATTTCTTGCCTTGTATGAAATTTAAGCTTGTCTTTTTCTAGAATCTTGAGGTGCAATATTAAGTTGTTGATGTTTGCCCATTCTGTTTTCCTTATGTGAGAGTTAGCAACTATAGATTTCCTCTTGGGACTGCTTATCTTGCATTCCATAAGTTCTGATATGTTGTATCTGCATTCTCATTTGCTTGTAGATAATTGTAAACTTGTTTTTTAATTTAATGTGTGACCTATTAACTGCTGAGGAGGGTGTTATTTAATTTTCATGCATTTATGAAATTTTTTCTTTTGACATTAATTTTCAATTTTATTGTGGTATGATTAGATAATATGCATAGAATAATTTCAATTGCTTTGGTTTGACTTAAGTATGTTCTGTGGACAAGTATATGGTTTATCTTAGAGAATAATGTGTATTATAATAATGTTGGGTGGAACAATCTGTAAATTATGTATAATTTATGTATAATATCCACTTATGTATTTTTGTTCACAGGATTGTTTCAGTTTTGATATTTCTTTGCAGATTTTTGTATAGTTGATATATCTCTTTGTGATGATGGAATATTAGCATTTCCCATTACAATTGAGTTATTGCTTATTTGATTTTTCATGCCTATCAATAATTGCCCTATATAGTTGGATTGAGAGATTTTTATGCACAAAGCCACAGGCAGATTAGAGAGAGCAGTTTTTGTATTCTATCATATGCATAATTGACTGGAGTAACCATTATTCTACTTTATAACTTTATATCCCTAGCAAGTGAAGTTTTAAATTTTATTATCACAATGAAATGATAAATATTTAATATAGTGTGTAACCTACATATCCTGAGTTGATTATTACACAGTATGAAGTGTAACTCTATCCAATAAAGAGGTAAAGAAACGTTTTAAAAAGAAAAAAAAAATAAAATGGTGTCTGAATTAACATTTTTGATTTAGTCAAACAAATACAGCAATCAAAAAAAGCAATCTTGTTTTAAGAAATAGTGGAAAAACATCATTAAGAAGTTTGAAATCTAAACCATTTTTCATTTTTTCTCCGTAATTCTCACCTCAGTAGTAACATGATGATTTCAGATGTTTAGTACTGGAAAAGCAAAACAGACCTCATTCTCAGGGAATTGCTATTTGAACTGTCTGGTGATCCCTAAAGTAACCTCTGAAAGACTTGCTTCATTTTGATTGACTTATAACTTAAGCAGTTCTAAGCCACTATGTGGTGAGTTTTTGTGAAATATTTACTGGCAAGTGTTCTGATCACTGACGTCTGAAACCATGCAAGAGTTGGGTAAAATGAAAACAGAACTAAAAATCTAGGAAAGAAACATTAAAAAAATGAGATGTATATAAAGTCTTTCTGCCAACTTTTAGAAGTTTCTGATATCTCAGATTCAACATGGAGTGAAGGACTAGGAGATGCTGAGTTGGAATAATTCTCTACCACTAAGCATACGTTTGAAAGAATTTTCTAGGTCCCCTTCTTCTGACAGTGGAATGTTGGGCTAAGACTAAAGTACAAATTATGACAAAATAGGTGACAAACTCCTAATGCTAAATGTGGGAGGATGGAATAACCCAATTTCTGTTACTTGGTAATGAGTTTTTCCACTAATTATCATTTTTTTATTAAAGAGAAAAACAAAACAAAACAAAACAAAGCAAGACAGTAAAAGGCTACAAGGAATACAAAATTTTAAGAGAAAAAATCTACAGTAAGAAGTCACTAGTAAATATATTACATATTGCCATCTCAGAAACAGTTGTTCAGGTTACAAAATTAAAGCATACAAAGTGGACATTAATACAGTGAGACTTCATACTGTTCTGTTCAATGATCCAACAAAAACTCAGTAATATGGTTTTCTATCCTACACACTTAAATACACTTGCAGTTATATCCTTTAGATCACTTTCTTTCCTCCCTTTTTTATGTTAACAATCGCACATTTTGGGTTCCATTACTCCCATGGTTCTTATAACTTTTTTCTTTGAAGAGGAAAGGAAAAAATATATATATATAAACCAAGAAACAAGTCAAAACAAAATAGAAAAAAAAAAAAAACCCAATGTGACAAAGCAAAACAGAGTCAAAACAAGAGGGTGGACATAGTATATAATGCAAAAACAGATTACTAGGTGATCAACAATGGTTACCATTATGCCTCTTGTTATCCTACAAAGAGGTGCCTATATCAGCTGGTATAAAAAATTGAACAAAACAGTATAGATCAAGACCAATAAAACTCACATTGGAGACCTTACAGGACTTCCAAAGAAGATAATAGTCAAACCATAATGGGTATCATAGAGTATCGGGTTGCCTTCAAAGTGGTTGCCTATACCCTCAAAACTGATGCTATTAAACAAAACAGAATATAATCGAATCAGTCAGAACAAGATGTGAAGAACAATACAAGGGTTCATATCAGGTTAATAGCAAAACAAAACAGTTACTGTAATATATCCCGCTATTTTTAATTTAGTTTTCCTTTAATTAAAAGATACTAAGAAATAAATTAATTTTTTTAAAAAAGAAGAAAAATGAGGGGGGGATACTGAGATAAAAAAAAAAGAGCACATCAATAGAAAAACCCAGGTCAGAACCGAACAATTTAAACATCATTGTGTTTCACCACCAGATAGCCTGTCATTAATAGTAGCTACCATAGTGTCTCTTTCTTTGAAATATTTGAGTCTAACTTCATATACTATAGCATCAAACTTATCAAGACAGTGTGAAGCCATTCAAAAGATTGAAAGTATTGCAGGGCATTTAGAACCAGCTAACAGAAACCGAACATCAGTTTCTATGTTATCTCTTTGCCTATAAAAAATTTTGCCTATACTATTGGATACATTAAAATATAAT